TACGATTGTCAGCTGACTTCTCAACAGAAACCATGCAGGCCAGATGGGAATGGCAAGAAATATTCAAGGTGATGAATAGTAAGAACCTACAGCCAAAAATAATCTATCCAGCAAAGCTATCACTCAGAATGGAAGGTCAGATAAAGAGCTTCACTAATAAAAAAAAGCTAAAGGAGTTCATCAACACCAAACCAGAATTATATGAATTGCTGAAGGGGGTTCTTTCAGAAGAGAAAGTAAATAAAGATAAAAATTATGAACAACAAATACTTAACTATCAACAAGTGAATCTAAAAACCAAGGAAATTAAAAAAAATCTGATGAACAATATTAACTGTTGAATATAATAGAATCAGAGGTATGGAAGGGGAGTGAACTGACGATTCTTGGGGAAAAAGGGAGAGGGGGATGTGGGAAGAGATTGAACATAGACTGTGCACCTATGGATGGGGACAATGGGGAGTGGGGAGGGAGCAGAGGGTGGGGTGGGAACCTTGTGGAGGAGAGCAATGGTGGTGGTGGGGGGAAAGGAACATTTGTAATAATATGAACAATAAAAACTTATTAAAAAAAATCATGGGATCAGATGAGATCACTAAGGATTGCGAATAGATAGAGAGGTGTCTGGAATAGTAAGGGCAATGTTGGCAGCTTCTATTACTACAACTATTTATATTGTTATTACTCTCTATTAAACGAGTTACAAAACTGCCAGGTGAACCCAAAGCTCTCATTTTCTTAATGCAAATCTCTTAGAGAAACCAAAACTATATTAGAAATGTCTATGGAGAATATGTTATCAGGATCCAGGGGGTTGAGTGACCTTAGTAAGCATCCACCCATGCACTTACAAGCTGGATGGACTCAGGCACTGGAGTTTGAGTCCTGGCTTTACTTTATAATAGCAGTAAAATCTTTCTGAGCTTTAGCTCCTTCATCTGTTCAAAAGGGTCCCCTTGGGATGGTAGTTGGATTCCAGGAGGTAAATGTCAATTCTTTCCTTTGCCCCTCCTCTGTTAGGGTCTAAGACAGTGGTTGGGAAACTCATTAGTCAACAGAACCAAATATCAACAGTACAACGATTGAAATTTCTCTTGAGAGCCAATTTAAAAAAAAAAAAAAAAAAAAAAAAAATATATATATATATATATATATATATATATATATTTTATTGATTTTTTACAGAGAGGAAGGGAGAGAGATAGAGAGCTAGAAACATCTATGAGAGAGAAACATCGACCAGCTGCCTCTTGCACACCCCCTACTAGGGATGTGCCCGCAACCAAGGTACATGCCCTTGACCGGAATCGACCCTTCAGTCCGCAGACCGACGCTCTACCGCTGAGCCAAACCGGTTTCGGCGAGAGCCAATTTTTTTAAACTTAAACTTCTTCTAACACCACTTCTTCAAAATAGACTCGCCCAGACTGTGGTATTTTGTGGAAGAGCCACACTTAAGGGGCAAAGAGTTGCATGTGGCTCACGAGCCACAGTTTGCCAACCACAGGTCTAGGACTCTGGGCCGATCAGGCTTTCCTCTCTGGAACATGAGACACTAATATTTTGTCTCTTCTCAGCTTTTTTTTTTTTTTTTTAAACCTTACCCAAGGAGATTTTTTTTTACATTGATATCTAGAGGAAGTGGGATGGAGGAGAGGGGGACAGACAGACAGGAGAGACACACTGATCGGTTGCCTCCCCATAGGCCCCTACTGGAGCTGGAGAACCTGCAACCAAGTTAAGTGCCCTTGACCGGAATGGATCCTGCAGCACTTTCATCTGTGGACTGAATCTCTAACCACTGAGAAAATCAGCCAGAACTCTGCTTCTTTTTAAAATCTATCCCAACACTACTCCTTTATAATTATAATCTTCCCTTGTGCAATGTGATTCATTACAATTAATTAGATCATTGTTGATTGTTCTTTAATTACAGTTTAATATCCTTAATGGGATTTAAAAGATGCTGTTGTCTTATCAGCAACACATTTATTCATTTTGAATGCAAGTAATGAAATCTAATGGTTTTTTCTAAAGGCTTCAGCTTTCAAAAGGGTATGGTTATGACCCTGATTACTTCATGAAGGTAGAGCCATTTCATTTTGCACTAGAGTTTCATTCATATGTTAGAGTTTATGTTCATATTAATAAATATAATTTCAGTACATTAATATTCAACAACTTTATAATCTTTTAGAGTATGAATATATCCATTTATCTATTCTCTAGCTGGTAAAGATTTAGGTTGTTTTCAGTTATTTTGCAATTATACCCAGTGCTGCAATAAACATTTTTTCCCTTTCCTCTTTGTGTGCACATGTGTTAGTTTCCCTAGCCAGGAGAGAAATGGCTTGGATATCTTCAATTTTAATGCATCTTCTCAGATGGCATTCTCAAGTGGGGGCCACTTTGCAGCCCTACCCCAGTGTGTGAGTGGAGGAGAGACATTCAGTAGAAAAAGGAAGGGCTAAGGCTGGGAAAATTAATTTAAAGAAAATCAGAAATATATCAGTAGGGTAAAAGGAATCTCTTGGAAAAGAAAGCTGTCAATCTTAGCTCTTCATTTTTCTTCTTTTAGATTAAGAATGAGTTTTCATTGAGCTTAAACAAGGCTTTTCTGACAAGTATGCTGAAAAATTTGATGAATGATCTATTACTTACCAAAGGAGAATAAGCAAAATTGAATGATTTCTTTATTTTTTCTAGGGCAGGTGAAATTTGAATAACGTATTATGAAGAGAGATAAGCATTTCAGTCCTATTTTTAAAAAGCCATTAATAACCTTCTTGTGTTATGTATTTTCATTTGGGATTGCAGTTTAGTTTGAACTTGGGTCTTCTGGGAAATATTAAACCATTCTAATTATATAGCCAAATCTTTCTACTAGCCAGGGTAACGCTATGCATACTAAAACAACAACAACAACAAACTTATAGTTTTGTTCACATGGATCTTTTAACTATGTCCTAGTCATATCATCCCTCAGTTTTCCGCCAGTTTCTTTCACCTCTTTTGTCCTTGTTCACTGTCTTGTTATAATATTTAGGAACATGTAATGGCCCAGAAATCTGTAACAAGGAAGAGGTCCAAGGGAAGAAGGAGAAAGCACGGACTGGTGGTTTTAAGATGTTCCCTATGTCCCACAAAGCTGTGCTGAGGGCGGTCCTGATTCATACTAATCAGAAGAGAGAGGTGGGTGCTGTGCTTGGCACAGATGCCCTGTGATAGCACAGGCAGCAGCTTCAGGAATTGGAGCCCGTTCTTACTACATTTGGTGAGCCCTCTTTTAAGAGAATAGATCACTTACCTCCAGGGCCTTTTGCACACCTCGAATGGTATGGGAACATTTTAAAACCCTTGTCTTTTTTCTCTGGCTTATACACTCCATAGATGAGGTGACTCTATCAAGAACCTTTCCCTCACCCCACCGTTTCCTCTGTTTGGAATATACTGTCCTCTGATCTTCTCTGGGTGAATCCTATTCACCTTGTGGTTCTCAGACTTTTTGTTTTCAGGTTTCCTTTTTTTCTTCAAAACTACTGAGGAACCAAAGAACTTTTTTTTTAAAAAAAAAATATATTTTATTGGTTTTTTTACAGAGAGGAAGGGAGAGAGATAGCTAGAAACGTTGATGAGAGAGAAACATCGACCAGTTGCCTCTTGCACACCCCCTACTGGGGACGTGCCCGCAACCAAGGTACATGTCCTTGACTGGAATCGAACCTGGAACCCTTCAGTCCGCAGACCGGCGCTCCACCACAGAGCCAAACCGGTTTCGGCTCAAAGAACTTTTATTTATATGGATTATATTGATCACTATTTACCATATTAGAAATTAACACTGAGTAACCTTGGTTGTGGGCAATCCCCAGTAGGGGGTGTGCAGGAGGCAACTGATCAATGTTTCTCTCTCATTGATGTTTCTAACTCTCTATCCCTCTCCCTTCCTCTCTGTAAAAAAACAATAAAATATATATATTTTAAAAATGTAAGGCCATCTCTGAATTATGTTCTTGGGGCCTATACTCATGGCACGTTATTTTAGGCTCTGGCTATTCCTAAGACTGTTGCAGTGCCATTACTCTCTGGATTCACATAGCGTTCTGCTTGTAGTCTTGTCTTATCCATTGTACCCCATTATAATTCTTTGTTTACCTGCCACCTCCCACCCCCAGATTCTTAAACTTACTGAGAATAGGAACTGTGACTCGTTTATCTTTTGAATCCTTTTCTTCATGCCCAACTCTGGGACTAGCATATCTTGGCATATAGTAGACATTAAAGCAATTGCTGAAAGTGCCACATTTTATTTGAAAAGATACATGTGCTACAATTGCAAGTGAGTAAAAATTTTGACCCGAGAGATCATATTCCCAATGCACGAATTACTATTACTGAATTATTTTGCACATCCCTTTCTTATAGGGTATTCTGTTAAGTAGTCTGATTACCAAGAATCATGGTGCTCAGGTGTTGTCATGCATGGACACTTTTCAGCAGATATTTGAGTTATATATATGTGCCGAGCACTGTGGTGTGTATTGAGGTTATAGCTGTAAACAACATATACTTGATCCCTGCCCTCAAGGACATATGGTCTAGCAATCTGTTCTGGAGTCAGCAGACTTTTTCTGTGAAGGGCTGAATGGTAAATGTTTAGACTTTGTGGGGAATATGGTCTTGGCTATAAATACTCACCTCCGCCGTGGCCCCAAAGTAGCCACAGACACTACATAAACATGGATGTGGCTATGTTCTAGTGAACTTCATATACAAAGCAAGATGTAGAACAGATGTGGGCTAGGGGCCATGGTTTACTGATTCTTGATCTCTTTATTTGTTTATTGATCTATGTCTCTCACTCATATATCCACAACTGTACATTTCATATTTTCAGTGGCTTATTTGCTACAGTTTGCTAAGGTGAGATTGTTGAAGAACTTCATCTCATGCAAATTACTAAAGCTAATAGTTGTTATTTTCTTTTTCTCTCTTATCAGGACATTTTATTTCCTTACATCAAAGAAAATGTTAAAGAGTATTTGCAGACACATTGGGAAGAAGAAGAATGCCAGCAGGATGTCAGTCTTTTGAGGAAACAGGTTGGGACATTCTATACCATTGCTTCCACATTCCCAAGTATCTTAGAAATAAAGATGCTTAGAGACTCATGCTCAAGCCCTTCCTGGGTGGAATGCAAAAGGTTTTACACTGTCTTTTCACATTGTTCATGAATGCCTCTGAGAGAGAGCACCTCGTCACAGCATTCTCTACTCTCTTCTGCCTCCTGGCATGAGCCCCGCTGAGCCCTTTGTGGGCCCTGATATCTACACACCGCCTCCAGACCTCTTACCCCAGCTCACACTTGGCCCTCATATGTGCCTCTGTTTCTTGTGCTCTGTTCTCTGTCCAGTTTTCAGTCTCTATTTTTCCCTTACACACTGTGTGCTGTGGCACTCGTTTTTTTTGTTTGTTTGTTTGTTTGTTTTTAATTAAAATTGCTTCAGTGGCAAAGATCTTACCTACTGTGCAGAGCTAACTCTGTAGCACTTACTTTCTAGTTAATTTTCTGCTTTGAACAATGTGGAATGCACTCTGAAGTTTTTAAGGTTACTAGTTAGGATTGGAAATATAATCATATTCTTTGGGACATAGATATTTGAGTTTGTTAGATTTTCTAGATAACTCCAGGTCAGTCTGAAACACCTCCCCTTACCTTTTTTGTTGTCTCAACTCATGTTGAAACATACGTACATTTCCTCGCTGTAGGATATGTATCATCGAGTCCTTAGAGGTTGGACATGGGCGCTATCACATTGTCAGTGATTCAAATAGCTATTTGCAAGATGTGACAGATGGCAGGAAACTGAATATGAAGCAACCCTAGACATTATTTCACTAGCTGCTTTTCATTGAATTCCAGGCATGAACTGATTTAAAGGTTTTCTTGTATGTGTGTTTCCCCCCTACCCCCTTAGTTACAATGCAAAGAAAATGATCAGATTTTATTGAATCTTAGTTTGTTGATCCTAGTAAATGAATCAACAAACTAGGTCTTAACTGTATCATTTTATCATGTCCTCTCTTTCTTCTTACATACATGCCTCTCAGTTTAAATTTTCGCTTTAGCAATATAGGAAAGATCATGTAAATTATTAATTATAATCCATTAGAGCCTCGGTACATGAAAATTCATGCACTGGAGGGGGATCGCTCAGGCCAGCCTACCCCCTCTCACAGTCTGGGAGCCCTCAGGGGTGGGAGGCTACCCAGCGATCAGGGGAAGGTGACACCCCCATCACACCAGCTGCTGCTACTGCCAGCGGCACAAGCCTGGGTCGGCCCTCCTTACCTTAGCCTTGGGCAGCCACTATCAGAAGCTTGGCTGTGCCTTGGGCCAGTCCTGGGGGGCTGGAGGGCTTCGGGGACTGGGGGAACTCCTCTGGATCAGGCCTGTGAAGCAGCCGGATCCACCTGCAGATGGGCCTGGCTGTGCCACATGCCTGCCACCCTGACAGAGCTGAGGGACTGGGCACCACCATCTCGTGGCTGTGGGTGCTACCATCTTTGAGGGCATGACAGTCAATTAGCAAATTCCTTATTGGCTGTGGGTGCTGCCATCTTTATGAGAGTGTGAGGGCCAGTTACACATTCCCTCTTTATTAAATAGGATTTCTTTTGGGAATCATTCAGATCAGCACCAAAAAATGTAGGATACTTTAATTTGTAACAGTGTTTGGTGCTAAAGATAGTTGGAAAAAATCAGTCAGCTTGGTTTTCAGGTCTAATTTTAAGGACTCTTTTTTTTTCAAATAAGTAAGAAACAAATTCATGTTATTTATGACTTGAAGGCTGAAGAAGACTGCCACCTGGATGGGGCTGTTCCGATCCCTGCTGCATCTGAGAACGGAGCAGATGACTCGCAACTGATGATCCAGGCCGTGGTAGATAACGTGTGCTGGCAGATGTCTCTGGACCGAAAGACTACGGCACTGAAACAGTTGCAGGGCCACATGTGGAGGGCAGCGTTCACAGCAGGGCATGTGAAAGCAGAGTATGTAGCTGCTCATGGGACTCTGAACATTTCATCAGCCGCAAAACCAAATACATCTTCCACTAGTCCTTTCTCCAGTTTTACATGATTAGTAAAATAGATAAAATAAAATTCTTTTAATTCTAACAAGTGAGTGTTTTGTTTTTTCAAAGCTGGGATAAAGCATTTCACCCAGCTAAATTCTCCAAACCTGATGTTTGGCTTGGTGGGATGGTTGAAGGACTTTTAATCCCACTTTGAAAATAGCTTCCTAGAAAATGGTGACTTTCTTAAACTAAAGTCAGATCTGATCCTTTGCTAAGAGTAACAGTGTGCTGAGCTGCTTCTCAGGACCATTGGATGATTTGTTTTCTGTTAGAGAAGTAAGAATTCTATAAAATTATGTGCCCCATTGCTTTGGGAGTTACTCAGTGTTAGCAGTGCCACTCATTTCTGTGCTCTTTTGAGCAATTTCCACAGACTCTTTGTCTTGATTGTGGAGTTCCTGAGAACACTTCTGCTAAAGAAGTCCTGTGTTGCTAAAAAATTCTTAATAAGATACTGCCATATTTTAGACTGTTCCCTGATATAAACCCTAAGATTTAAGACTGTTTTCAGCTGCCTATGTTTGTTTTGTTTTTTCTGCAAATGAGATGCCATTCCTTTATATACTATACAAAGGGTTTCCACCTTTTTAAAAATATACATATATTTTTTTGATTTCAGAGAGGAAGGGAGAAGGAAAGATAGAAACATCAATGATGAGAGAAAACTATTGATAGGCTACCTCCCATATACTTTATACTGGGATCAAGCCTGCAATCTGGGCATGTGCCCTGTCCGGGAATCAAATTGTGACATCCTGGTTCATAAGTTGGTGCTCAACCACTGACACACCAGCCAGGCTGTAATCACTTTTGATTATTATAATGGGGCTGTCAAAAACTATTTTTCTCTCCACCCAAATTATTGCTTCTGATCTGTGTGATCCTGGAACTCCGTGATATACTTACTAAATCTGCAGATGGAGCCCCTTCTCGTGAAGACCATTTGGGCACAAAGAGAGAAACTTGTGACAACTATTTTGACTGGTTTTCATCTGGCAACATAATGTATTCCTGCATTTTAACTTGATTTTCTGTCTAGGTTCTTTGAAGATGTAATTCCAGCAGTCAGGAAGTGGAGAGAGGCTGGAATGAAGGTGTATATATATTCTTCAGGGAGTGTAGAAGCACAGAAACTATTATTTGGGCATTCTACAGAGGGAGATATTCTTGAGGTAGGTTACATCATAACTTTGTTTTTTGACATTATCAAAGCATGAAATAATGATTTTTAAAGGAATATGGTACAGTTATAAGCTAAATCAGCATTCAGATAATTGTGTGTGTGTGTGTGTGTGTGTGTGTGTGTGTGTACGTATGTGTATATATGGCCAAGCACATTGTAAGGGGAAGTGGAAAAACTGGGGAATACATTATAAGCAAGAGTGAACTGTTTGTGTTAACCAGTCTTTATATCAAAGGTTCTTAAGCTTTGTTGCATAAGGATCACTTAGGGGGTGGGGGAGAATCTGTTAAAAATATAGATCCCTCTGGGCCCTGCTTCCAAGCAAGTCTGAACCAGCAGGCCTGGGGCGGGAAGTCAGAAGTCTGCATTTTTACACTTTTCACCCTCAGTGGTTCTGTGACAGTTGTACTAGAACCATATATAAAATACAGCTAACAAGGCATAAGCTCTAGCTTGTAAATCAGCTATCCTGCCAGTTTTGGGAAGTCATCAACTCAAAGGAAACTAATGACATGCTTCTTTTGGTTGTTTAAAGTAGAGCAGGTAAAATGTAAAATAGTGGTACTTGCCACTATCCAGAAAAAAACACAACAAAACAGACTTCTTGAATGGAGCAGAGTACAAGGTGGATTGATTGTTTCTGGTACTTTGGAGAGACAGATTTTACTTTAGCAGAGCCAGCATTCTTATGTAAGAGAGCTGGGTTCATCATTAAACAATTAAAAGTTAAGGCCACCTATTAAATTTCTTGTTCATGAAAAAATTTTTGTTAGCCCTTCTGTTCTAGCATCCTATGCCTCCTGGGAGACAGGATGGTCATTGGAAGGGATTCACCTAAGGGATTCAAAAAGAAATACTAATTCAATATACACTGACTTTAGTGATACACAATAGGTCGCTCTGCTACCTAGTTTTAAAATAAATATTTATTGAGCAGCAAGGATGTATATTAGTTCTTGGGTAGAATTTCAGAATGTTTTAATCAGAAAATGAAAGTAGAGTAACAACTTATTAATGAGGTAGGATAAAGAAATTTGTTCATTCTGGGGTCAAAAGGAGTGAAACTTTCGTCAGTAGTGAAACTCACTGTGTAGTAAGTAGCTTGAGTACAAATAGTATTTTAAGGGTAGAAAGTAGGTCATGTATATTTTAAAAGATTTTGTATAAAAAAATCAATGCTAAAGAAAGAAAAGCAAGTAGATTGTAAATTGACCTTATATATGTTGAATTGGTAGTTTTCTCCTTTCAAATGTTTATTGCTATAAAATCTTTGAATGTACTTTTTGTAGTCATCTCCAAGTTCTCTTGTACGTAGATTTTCAGTTATATATTGAGTGAATGAAATCACTGTGATTGTATATTTCAGAGATAAGGGATAGAGACAAAGTGGTCCAGGTTACTAGTATGTTTGCAGCATCAGTATTTCCCCTTCTATTTTTTCAGCTTGTTGATGGTCACTTTGATACCAAGATTGGACACAAAGTAGAGAGTGAGAGTTATCGAAAGATTGCAGACAGCATTGGGTGCTCAACCAACAACATCTTATTTCTGACAGACGTTACTCTAGGTAAGGAATCTGACTTCTTACTCCAGGATGGGAGCTGAGCTCAGCACTGCAAGCACATTGCCTCTTTAAAGAAAGTTTATGTGTGGACCTTTGAAAAATGAAAGTTTTATAAAAAGAAACAATGAACCAGCCAACTCATCTTTCTCTCCATTTACGCCTCCTTGGGAGTTGTGTGTGGGGAAGTGGCATTAGAAAGACTTAATTTCTCTCATTTTAACTCCTTATCCATGGTTGCCTACCCACCCATCTGTACTTACACAGGTGAGATGGGAAATTAAGAAAGGACTTACAGGGTATCATTGTGGAAATGAGCATGCAGGCAAGAACCTGATGGTAGGTGCATGGCTAGGTAAGGATAATAAAGTCACAGTGCATCTGCATCAAATATACTAACAGCAGTGAGATCACACATACACACTCAGCCGATAAAAGAGAAAAAGAGAACTCTAGTTTGAGTGACTTTGCCTTCAGTCATTCGATTGGTGCCCTGTCCTGGCGTAAGTAGAAGCCTCATCCCCGCCTTCCTGGGGACTGGCTCAGTCCCTCAGGCCTTCAAGATTCACTTGTTTAAAGACAGCATTTTCTTTACACAGCCTGTTCCTCTTTATTTTAAACTAGGGGCCCAGTGCACAAATTCATGCACCTTAAAAGGAACTGTAGGCCACAAGGCTGCAGTGGGCACAGGGGTGGGTCTCAGCTCATTATCCACAATCCCGCCTAGCCCCTCCTGCCTCTGTCCCTGGTCCCCTGTCTGCCAGCAGCTCTGCTCCTGCCACCACCGCTCCACACACTGAGAGCACCAGCCCCGCTTTCACCCGCTGACAGCACAGAGATTGGAGCAGGTGCCAGCAGCTAGTGTGAGTGGTGGCTGCTGCCCCGTCACTGCTAAGGAGCAGGGGGAGGTGGAGAAGCCCTCAGGGGTGATTGGGGCTGGCAGTGGGTGCGAGTGATGGCTCCAGCAGCAGCGGCAAGCCCAGCCCAGAGGAACTACAGCATGTGGGAGCAAAGAATTTTCAGTAACCCCCAGAGGCTCATCCTGATGACAGCAACCAGTGCCCTGCCTTGGCCTGGTGCCCCCATTCACCTGCTCCACCATCCTGCCGCAGCCAATGCCCACCATGTTTCACACTCTGCTGCCTACTGCCAACGCCTAGATAGATAGAACATTAGCAGATGTATGATTACTTTAAGGACTGAATGCACAAAACAATGTATACTGTTCTTCATTGGCAATTTAAGTGATTTCAGGAGTAGTTTTGACCAAATGTAAAATATGTACTCAAGTATCTGTGTAAGACTGTGAGTCCTCTATGAAATTATAGAGGGAAGTGGTAGCCAATAGGAAACAGGAAGCAGCAGGCAAGGGAGGGGGGTGTGCGGAGGGAGGAAGGGGGGGGGTGGAGTCCCTGCTGTTCTTACTTGAAAGCCCCTGGTTGGGGCGGCTTTCCCAGACTCCCCACCCTTGATTTTTGTGGTTATTTGTGAAAAGCCACCGCCAGTGTGGCTTTTGGGTTCAGAGGCTTGGAGAAAGAGCTGACGTGCAAATTAAAACAGAAGAAATAATAATTTGAAATTATGGGGGGAAGCCAGGGAAAACTTAACTAGTAGTAGTCAAGTTCCACTGAGTCTCCTTTCCCAGCTGCTTTTATTTACTAGAAACACAATTGACTTTTAGGAATGCAAAAGGACATATCAATGTTTAGTAAACAGTAAGATTATCAGTTTGTGAGGAGTTTGCTTTAGGCCATTGAGTCAGCAGTAGGTAATAAGATGCAAATATTCACACTATGAATATCAAAGGAGCCCAGGTCAGCCTTCTGATGGACTTCTTGCATTTATATTAATTACTGTTGATCTTGGTTTTCAGCAGTTATTCTCCTTACAGTCCTGCCTCTCCCCAGGGGCTACCTTAGGTGTGTTTATAATCGCACTTGTATTTGAAGGTAGTTCTATATATTTATGTTTCTTCCACTCACCTTGGGTTGTAAGTTTCACCCTCTGTTTACCCCAGAGCAGGGCTTTGTGCATTGTACAGCTGCTCCAGCACCGGCCTCCTGCTGGAGAAGGTGGTTGGGGGAGAGGCAGAGGGCAGGGGGGTGCTCTCTTGCCTAGTCAGCTCTATGTGGCTCCTGGGCTCCTTGGGGGCAGCTTCAGCACCTAGAGGCAGCATTCCTCCCTTTATTCCTCTGTCTGTTGTCCCAGAACTAAAGCCACCCAAGCACTAGGACTTTCAGAGATGGGGCCCAAAGGCAAATCAAGGCTGCTGGCAAGGACATCTTACCTGTGGTAGTGTGTATATTTTTTCTACTGCTGACCCTTGACCTTTTGGTCTCTTGTGTTAGGGAAGAGTTGTAGCTATATAATAACATGCACGAATTTGCTAAGTGATTTTGGAAATAATCTTAACCAGCGTAGAGCATCTAGAATCTAGATACCTTGAAGAAACTAAAATGTGTCTTTGGAAAACGGAGTAAAACAGGCTTAATTTCACCTGACATTCCAAAGATTTCAGTAATTGTTCTTACCTTTGTTAAATTTCATGCCTTGGTGCATCTAGACTGGAATTTTTTTTTTACCTAGTTAGACAGTATTTAGTGGGGATCAGCTGCTGTCCTGGCTTAGCTCAGCTTCAGAGTATAAGGGTTTCTACAATTGTGTCTCATTTTCCCACATCTTGGAAAGCTTTACATTGGCATGAAGTGAGACAGACAGATGCATGGACACACTGCTTTAGGGTTCATGGTGTAACTAGGTAGCCAGGCCTCTTAAATGTGCTGTCAACAAACATTTCACCTGGTCTTTGAACTGTAAATGTTGGTCTATCAAACATTTTACTGCTTCAAAGCTACAATGTACCCTCTTCCTTGAATGATTTTTGGGGGCTTTGAGTGGTGGGGTAGGGAGGTCACTTTGTTATCCATATAGGTTAGGGATGCGTCAGCAGTTTCTGTGAGGAATGATAATTTCAGTCCTTATTGAAAGAAGACAGACAGGCCTTGTCCTGGTGAAGTTTGTCTGGTTTAATCTGTGAATTGCTTTTCTTTAATCATTCACATAAAGGGGGCTACTGAAGATGAAAATTTGTGGTTTGTCCTATATTTAATTTTCTTAGGATTTCGAATGGTTAAGTTTCTGCAGGCTTAGAATTAGGGATCTGATTTGTGTCTGGGGCTCTCCGTAAAGTCAGCCTGTCCAACATTCTGTGACCCCCAGACCCAATATTTCTCTCCTATCCACCACCTTTTGGTTACTCTTAATAATTATAACTCCTGCCCTAAGATCACTTACAGTTTTTCATAGTTTTGTTTTCAGCTACATTTTTTTTTTGTCTAGTTGCCATCGTAGTACATCTATAATTTCAGGTCTTCCTTTTTCCCTTAGCCATATCCTTTCCTTAGGGTGCAGTCCCCAAAATTATTCTTATTCTTTTTACAGACAAGAGATGATCCCCAGGTTGGCCTCAGGTTGGCCTCACAATGAAATTGATTCCTTCTCAGTCCTCCACAAAGAGGTTTTATTCCTGCCCCTAGACTTCTGCCAGCCCCACACCCAGTAGTAGAGCCAGAACTGGGCCCATCTATAGCTGGGATGGGGCCAGGCAGCTGGCTGCCTGCCTCATTCTAAAGTCTATTATCTCTGATCCTGTGTTTTGGTATCACATGCCCAGTCTTTTATTGCCAAGGCAGAGTAGTGGACTAAGTGATATCCCAAATAATACCCAAGCATAAAAGAGAACTGAGCCATGGCCCGTGTTTCTCAGTGGTTAGAGCGCCAGCCTGTGCACACAAGGGTTGCAGATTCGATTTCCAGTCAAGAGCGTGTACCAGGGTTTCAGGTTCAATCCCCTGCCCTAGTTGGAGCATGTGTAGGAGGAAGCCAATTGAGGTGTCTCTCATACATCAATGTTTCTCTCTCTTTCTCCTCTCCTTCCCTCCCTCTGCTTCTCTCTCTTTTCCACTCCCTTTAATCCATTCAGATGTTGCAACTGTTTTCCAAAGATAAACAACTGAGGTGTTTTTTTAATTCTCACCCAAGGACATGCTTATGTGTGTGTCATTTTAAGTTGATTTTAGAGAGAGAGGAAGGAAGGGAAGCATCGATGTGAGAGAGAGAAACATCAGTTAATTGCCCTCACCTGTAGGCACCCTGACCTGGGATTGAATCCGCAACCTAGCTATGTGCCCTGACCAGGAACTGAACCTGCAATCTTTTGGTGTACAGGACAGCACTCTAAACAACTGAGCCACCCGGTCAGGACACATAGCTACCCTTGTTTTAGAGCACAGACCACAGAGTCGGAGTAACAGTTTCAAACTTTAGTTCTACCTCCCTAGCTCTCAGTTTCCATGTCTGTAGAAAGGGTTAGTAATACCTCAAGCCTGTTGTAAAGATTTAGATGAGAATGGCGTTCCATGAAGGTGGGGGCCTTGTTTTGTTCTCTGCTTCTAGAATAGGACCTGGTACCTGGTAGGTACTAAATTTATATATTAGCTGTTATCTTTCAGATGGAAGAAAGAAGATGAAGAGATACGTAACCCAAAGCATTTTAGAGATATTCCCTGCAATGTCTAGTTTTGCTTTACTAATCCTGTTCTTATTTCTACCCACTATGCAGTCACAGATCACAATCTATTGAGGGAGGAAAGTGACAACAGATAATAATTGTCACCTTATGTTGTTGCAATAGAGCAAAATACAGGGTGTTGAAGGAACACATAAGTTGCTCTTAATAGCGCTCTGGAATATGAGTTAATTAAATTGAATTATAAAGACTAGGAATTTGCCCTACAAAAAAGATGGGTGTTTTAGTCAGGAGTTGTGATACTTTTGGGCTCTGATTTTGAGAGCCCGGATTTCAGCCTTATTCATCCTAGGTTTCTATTCTTCTCATTTCTTCTTAATTGGTATTTTCCCTGCCAAGCTGCGCTTTGGGGATACAACTCAGTTCTCTATTGGACTAATGAGAGGGAGTGGAACAAAGGTGTGGACAGAACATGGCTCTATCCTTCTGCATTCACATGTACTTAATAAAACTCAGAGGTCTGGATAGTTGCCATTGTAGCCTGTCATGTATAATTATATATTAAAATTTTTTATTACAGAAAAATTGAAATGATGTAGAAGAGAATAATATAGTCTGCACCTATGTGCCCTTCTAGCTTCAGACATTATCAGATCAGGGTCAAACTTGTTTTTCACATTTCCACATCACCCTGATTACTTTGAAGCAAATCTCAGATCATATTTTTAAGTTTCTGGCATTCATTTTGATTTTCACAGAGGCCAGTGCTGCTGAGGACGCAGATGTACATGTGGCTGTGGTGGTGAGACCTGGCAATGCAGGACTAACAGACGATGAAAAGACTTACTACAGCCTCATTACGTCCTTCAGTGACCTGAACCTGCCCTCCTCCACGTAGAGGACATCTGAGGAAGACCAGCCGTCCCCACAGTCGCCCCTGTAGTCTAGTGTTTTCCTAGTGGTACAAGTAACTTTCTTTAAACATACATATAAACACACGTATGTATGCATGAAAGTATATATGTGTGTGTTCAGATTCTCTTCGTAGGCACACAAGTTTGGGGGGAAATCTCAGTTCAGTGAGAAGGAAACTAATTTAAAGATGCTTTGTATATAGAAATGGTTTGAAACCGCAACTCTCACCCTTATTGAGGGTAAAATGTAGTTGATAGAAGAAATTATTACAGTGCAGATCTAATGTGTTATGGTTATCACATTATGGACCAAAATGGAAAGATAGGTTTGAGAAGTTATTCAGAAGCTTTGGTATTTTAAAAACTGGAAATATTTTCAAGACTTATTTCTAATAGTAATTCAACTCCCCTTTTAATTATGAGTTAGAAAATTATTAGCAGCTGAATTTCAAAATATTAGTTTCCCTGTTATAGAAGATAAAGTTATTTATTTCTGTTCCAAAAGGGACACAATTGGAAAGGAAGCTATTGATATTTGAGTCCTGATCAATCAAACATCTGTTACTTAAGAAACTTGCTAATCATTGTGGCTTCCCCAGCAAGTAGTTGCTTTAACAGTGAAAAAGGTGCACTGATATAACAGGTAAAATGACAAAATAGTTCTAGTCCTACCAGTAGTTATCACTAGATTTTATTGTTGCCCTTCTTACTCCTTCTTAGCATGGTTAGAGACTACCTTACTGCTGTTTACTATTTAAAAAAAAGTTTACTGAAATCAATTTATAAGACTTAGAAGAGCCCTACTATGTACTATTTTCCTCAAAATGGATGTGAAAAATGTTAATTTTATAACTGCATTATTTATCCTGGGTCAATCCTATTGGGATGTCATGTTAATTGCACTTTGTGATTAATAAAAACATTTTTTCTTTCACTCAGTTTTATGTAGGTCCCTGAACTACACCACATATTGCCATAATCAAACGAGAAACTGGAGATTTAGAAAAATAAGAATTTCATTTTAGTTTTTGCTTTATCATGTGTGTTTTTTAATGGAATGCCATTGGAAATCATTGACTGTGAGTTATGTATACATAGATGGTTACCCTCATTGGTTATTTTATTTGGCTATAAGCATTCAAGATAAGAGTGGGTTTCTTAGGTTTTTTGAGACTCATATTTGAGGTACCAAGGATAATGCTTTAAGAAGGCAAGTAATCAAAAACTAATGAATCCTGAAGGAATGATTTCTGGGAGTGCTCTGAATAAGGAAAAGGAAGTAACCTTGCAAAGATGAGAGAATAGGGACTATAAAAGATTTTATGTTGATTATTTTTATTTTCTAGTAGCTAATTAAAAAATAATGATTATGGAAATATAAAAGAGTAGTAAAAGGGAAATGAATTTAAGTAAATCTTAGAAATATGAGTGAATTGTAAATGATATAAGATCATAAATGTTAATAAAAGTTGAACTTCATATAATTTCTGAAAAAGCTCACAAAGAGATAACAGAAAAGGTATATTTTACTGAAAATAAAGGAATAACTGGAAAAGTAAGGAAGAAATGAGAGAAAATTATACACCAGGACCTGAACTAGAAATGAGTCTAAGGGAAACAAGTTTAAATATCTAGCCAAGCCGGGACCGGCTAGATATTTAAACTTTGGCTCAATGGATAAAGCGGCTTGGGGACTGAAGGGTCCCGGGTTCGATTCCGGTCAAGGGCATGTACCTTGGTTGCGGGCACATCTCCAGTAGGGGGTGTGCAAGAGGCAGCTGATCGATGACTCTCTCTCATCGATGTTTCTAACTTTCTATCTCTCTCCCTTCCTCTCTGTGCAAAATCAATAAAATATATTTAAAAAAAAAAATCTAGCCAATGGAGAATTGAGGTGGAGAAGTGTCTTAGTGGCTTCAGATTGCTATAGCAAAGTATCAGAGACAGGGTAGCTTATAAATGACAAAATTTTATTTCTCTTTTTAAAAAATATACTTTTATTGATTTCAAAGAGGAAGGGAGAAGGAGAGAGATAGAGATACATCAATGAAGAGAATCATTGATAGGCTGTCTCCTGTACACCCCCCATAGGGACCGAGCCCACAACCCAGGCATGTGCCCCTAACCAGAATCGAACCCAGGACCCAGGCCAACCAATGCTCTATCCACTGAGCCAAACCAGCTAGGACTGAAATTTTATTTTTTTACAGTTCTGCAGGCTGGGTCCAAGATCATGCTGCTGGCAGATTTAATGTCCGATGAGAGCCGTTTCCTCAGACCAGTTTTCTCTTTGTAACTTCACATGGTAGAAGGGATGAAAGCTTTCTTGGGTTTCTTTATATAAGGGCACTAATCCCTTCATGAGGCTCTGTCAAGGCCTCCCAAAGTCCCACTTCCACATACATAAGCATATGTGTGTGGGGAACACAAACATTTAGTCTACCAGCAGCAGCCACTTTCCACAGTAAGGGTACCAGGAAAACTAGTTTATATTGAATAATTGATGGTGGAAATAGATTAAAAAGTAAGAGAAAGTTGCGATATCAAATTCCATTTGTCAAAGAGGTGTGTGAAAGGAAAGGGGAAAGGTGAGGGGACTATTTCTTAGATCCTAAGAAACTTCTTTACAATATGAAAGGAAAGGAAAGGATCTTTGGAAGACCCTAGAGTTGTAAAGGAGACTGGTCATGAAGGAAGAAAATGCCTAGAAAGTGGGTTGTGAGCTAGGAGGTAAATCCAGATAAATTTGTGGTCCTGAGTAAGTGAAGGAGGGAAAATCCCACCTGTAATTTCCACAAAAGGACAAAGACACTAAGTTTTCTCAGCATCCTGTTTGCAGAGCATACAGGGAACAAAGGCTTCTGGAAGTTGTGGCCCTTGTCATTTCCCTTTGTTAATCCAGTTCTACCTCAATTGTGCTCTTCTCCACAATAGCACTGATTTCCAATCTTGAGTCAAAACCCAAGTTGGTTTCTTAGAAGAGAAGCCTCAGTCAAAGGGGCTTCTCTAATCTTACCAGCAATTCCGGAGTAGCAGAGCTTTCTATTTGGCCTCCTTGGGGGCTGGGCCTTTGCTACTAAGCTTAGCTGGTGTCCACTTTAGTTTCTAAAGGAAAGGAAGGTACAGCAGCCTTTACCCAGCAGATGGTGCTGTTTCTCCAGAGACTATCAAGTGTGAGGCCACCAGATACAGGGATGAAGCTTTAAGAGAAAAATGAGTCTAATTCATTTATCCTTAAAAGGCAATAGGATGATATTTTAGGAGTCAGAGTAATTTGGAAAAACGGGCAGTAATATAGAGTAAAATTCACCCACTAATATTCCTCTTCCCCCTTCTCCTCTAATTCTCATTTTCTTAAAAAGTGATTTTTAGCCCTGGTTGGTTTGACTGGTTAGAGGGTCAGCCTACAGACTAAAAGGTCACAGGTTCAATTCCTGGTCAAGGGCACATACCTTGATTGCAGGTCCAATCCCTGGCCCCAGTCAGGGTGCATGCAGGAGGCAACCAATCAATGTGTCTCTCTCACATAGGTTTTTCTCTCTTGCTTCTCTCTTTCCTACCCTCTAAAAGCATCAAGGAAAAAGTTTCCTCAGGTGAGAATGTAAAAACAAAAAAAGATTTTTGGAAAGCCAGTTTTTCTAGCTGAAGTGTAAAAAGGACTTGTTTTTAGGTGTTTAAACTTTCCACCAGAGCACAAAGTTGAATTAATATATACCAAAACAGTTTATTATCCCACCACTCATTCCCTGATGGCAAAATGCTATTATCTTAAACCTAATTTTAAGAATAATTTGTAGTTTTTGCTAATATATTGCAGTAACTCTAATAGAAGTAGACTTCACCTTCCTTAAGATTTAACCCAAATTGTTCATTCAAATATTGACTAAGCATCTATAGAATAATGTGCCCTGGATCTGCTGGGAAAATAATGTAGAGTGACTTTTTCTATGGGGTTGCTCAGAAGGTAACATCTAATCTGAACGACATAAAAATGTAAGGAACTAGAAGGAAGAGCATTCCATGAAGATGGAAAGCCGTATGTAAATATCTAGGTGCATATTCGGTATAATCCATAATTGTAATTGAGAGAAGGCCAGGGGCTGGATGCCATAAAAAAAAGTGGGCAGAGCCAGATAGGGCTTGACCATGATAAAGTTTGCTCTGTGTTCCAAGTGTGGTGGGAAGCCACTGGAGAATCCTATATAAAAAAGAGGCAATATGTAAATTGACCATCACTCCAACACATAAGATGGCCTGCAAGGGAGGGCAGATGTGGGTGATCGATCAGGTCTGCAGGGGAGGGCAGTTACAGGTGATGGGCCAGCAGAGTAGGGCAGTTGGGAGCAACCAGGCCTGCAGGGGAGGAGAGTTGGGTCGGGGCAGGGGGTGTGTGCTCAGGTCTACAGGAGAGGACAGTTTAGAGTGACCAGGCCTGCAGGGGAGGGCAATTGGGAGGGGACCAGGCCTGCAGGGGAGAGCAGTTAGGGGCAACCAGGCTGGCAGGAGAGGGCAGTTAGGGGCAATTGGGTCTACATGGGAGCAGTTAGGTGTTGATCAGGCTGGCAGGGGATCAGGCTGTCAGGCAGGTGAGCAGTTGGGATCAGGCCTAAACGGGCAGTCGGACATCCCTCGGGGGGTCCCAGATTGGAGAGGATGCAGGCTGAACCGAGGGACACCCTCCCCCCCCCCCCCCCCCCGCACGAATTTCATGCACTGGGCCTCTAGTTTTAAACAGAAGATAACAGAATTTGATTTACATTCTCCATTGGATGGAGAATGCGTTATAGGCAGGTAAGAATAAATGCAGGGAAATCAGGAATATCAGGGTTTGAGTCCCAAGTCAGAAACCACTTTAGGTATCAAAGAAATTTATAACAAGGAGGAGGTGTTGACAAATCAATGAGAAGGACGAGTAGTAGTAAGGGAGGCTGCCTTTGGACTGTGGAGTTGAAAGACAGCCTATCTCAACTTTTATCTTCATTAT